GCCGTCTGCATGTGCAGGAACCGCGCCTGCGGCTCCAGCCGGCCGAGGGCCTCCATGTCGCCCGGCGACAGCGGCGCGTCGAAAATTCCGCGTTCTCCGCGATGCGCGACGCCGTGGAGCTCTTCGGCAGCACGCTGCAGCCGCGCTGGACGCCGTACTTGAGGAGCGCCTGCGCCGGCGTGCACCCGGCGCTCCCGGCGACCTTCTTGACCTCGGCGTGCTCGAGCAGCTTCCCGCCTAGAAGGTACGCGCGATGTTGGATCGCGCTCGCGAAACGGTCTCGGATCGCGCTCGCGAAACGCTCTCGGATCGCGCTCGCGAAACGCGCTCGGACGCGGCCGCACGCGCCGTCGTGCTTCATGAACGCCGCCGAGTCCGCGGACCCCAGCGGCGAGTAGGCCGTCACGTGGATGCCCCGCGCCGCGCAGCCCTCGAGGAGCGCGGTCTGGCGCAGGAGCGGGTGGAGCTCGACCTGCAGCACCGCGGGCACGAGGCCCTCGAGCGCGTCGACCTTTTTCAGGGAAAAGTTGCTCACGCCCACGGCGCGCGCGAGGCCCAGCTCGTAGACCTTGGTCATCTCCCGCCAGGTGTCGCCGAGCGGCGGCTCCAGCGTCGGACCCGGCGCCGTGAAGGGAAGTGAACGAGGTATCTGCGCGGGGCACGGGTCCCCGTTCAGCGCGGGGCAAAAACAGCGGGGATCGGGCTCGACGACCCATCGACGCCGAGGGCGCACAGGTCCACGTAGTCGAGCTTGAGCCTCGCCAGCGACGCGCGGCACGCGGCCTCGACCTTGGAGCCGTGGTCGCTGTTCCAGAGCTTCGTCGTCACGAAGAGCTCGTCGCGCGTCACGTCGCCCGCGGCGACGGCCTCGGCGATGGCCTCGCCGATGACCGCCTCGTTGGAGTACATGCGCGCCGTATCGATGTGGCCTGCGAGGCGCGTGCTCGGAGCGCTCGCGGACAAAACGCGGGCGCGCGCGGTAGCCCGCTCGGATCGCGTCGCGGACGACGGCCTTCGTCTTCGCGTCGCCGGCCAGCTTCCAGGTGCCGAAGCCCAGCAGCGGGATGGCGCGGCCCGTGTTCAGTTTCGCGGTCCGAGGCGTCGCGACCCGCGTCTCCGGGCAGCGCTCAAAGACGGACCGGCTGCCCCAGCCCTTGGTGCCATCGTCCGCCTCGACGAGCACGCGCTCCTTGGCGCCGAGCATGCGCGTCTCGAGGACGGCGACCTCCGCGCCCATGGGTAGCAGGCCGGCCTGCTCCGAATCCAAACCAATTGCCACCCGCAGGATCGCGCCTTTGCGAGCTTTACATCGGAGGCGCTCCATACTCTCCCCTTCAACGACTTTGTTTTACGCAAGGTTGACGCGGCCACCGGTAGCGCTGGGGCTGCCTCGTCGGAGGTCGTGCGGCCCGCGGGCCGCGCGGACCGCCCGCCGCCGCCATGGGCAAGATGCGGGACGACTTCGAGCAGCTCGTGATCTTCGTCGGCGCGAAGCTCGCGAAATGGTCGGGCCTCGCGTCCGACGAGTCGGCGAAGCGGCGCTACCTGGGCGGCATGAAGCCGGACAAGTACTACGACGAGGTCGTCTACCCGGACCTCAAGGAGACCTTTGAGATTCTCGGCTTCAAGTACGACAAGGGCAAGGAGGCGCGCACGAGCCGCGTTGCATTAGTCTTCGGAGAAACTTCCCAACAACGCGTCGCGCCCGTAGGTCTTCCTCGCGTTCATCGACATCGACGACGACAACAGCGGCGAGGTCAGCGTCAAGGAGTTCCACGCCTGGCTCAAGTACCCGCTGACGAAGTTCAGCGAGCGCGTCTTCGGCATGCTCGACCTCGACAACAGTGGCTTCTTGGACTTCAACGAGTTTTTGATAGGCGTCTGGAACTGGAACACGTACGACGCGTCTTTGATAGCCAAGCTCGCCTACAACATCTTCGACGTGGACCGCGAGGGGAAGATCGACATGGCCGAGGCCGACGCCATGCTGCGCATGGTCTACAACGTGCCCAAGTCGGACCCGGAAATCCTCGAGAAGATGGACGTGAACAAGGACGGCAACATCTCGCTCGAGGAGCTCGAGCAGCTCATCGAGGTGCACAACTACATCCTCATGCCGGCCTTCGACCTCCAGCGCATGCTCAGGATTCGCATTTTGGGCGTCAAGTACTGGGAGGCCGAGAGCCAGAGAAGACGCGTCTACTTCTCGGGCTACGACGCGGGCGCGCAGGAGTCCTGGGAGTCGCTGAAGAAGATCCTGGAGATCAAGCACCAGGCGCGCGTCGAGGAGGAGGAGCGGAACCGGAATCTCAAGGAGATGGAGATCCGGGAGCGCATCGAGGCGCAGAAGCTGCGCGAGGTGAAGCTCAAGGAGGAGAACCAGAAGCGGCGGGAGAAGCGCGCCGAGGAGCGAAGGCGCGCCAAGGAGAGCGTCGAGGTCAAGGCGGAGAAGAAGGCCCGGGCCATCATGGACCAGCTGGTCGCGGAGCGCGACGACGAGGTCGTCTTCGGCGACCTCGCGATCCGGCTGGTGAACCGGGAGAAGTTCTGGAAGGCCTACGAGGACTGGGTCATCAAGGCGCGGCGGGCGCGCGTCACGGAGGGCGCGACGCGACACCGCCTCGCCGTCGGGCCCGACGCGGACCTGCGCTTCGAGGAGGATTTGGAGACGATGGAGGGCTACGGCGAGTTCTGGACGGAGGTCAAGGCCATCTGGACCATGGAGTACACGGACTACTTGTACGACCGGGGCGGCGTCTGGAACACGACGGTGGCGTCGCTCATGCTGAAGCCGCCCATCGACGAGCTCGACGACGAGTACGAGCCCACGTTTCTCGCCGGATTGCGCATGCGCTTCGCGGGGCGGAAGAAGATGCGGCGCATCAAGGCCCAGGCCAAGGAGATCCTGATCGCCCAGTTCCGCGAGTCCGAGGACGAGCGCGTCGCCAAGGAGATCGCGAAGCAGGAGGAGGAGCAGGAGCTCGAGTTCCGCACGCGGCGCACAGAGCAGGAAAAGGGTGCGAAATTCCCAACTTCAAAGGCTCCGATCTCGGCCGTTTTCCACTCGTTTCGGCTGATTTTTGGACGAGCGATCATCTCTCGGAACGGTCTCGAAGCATGGATGCTTTTTTTTTCTGGAACGCGCGCGCGCGGAACACTCACGTTGAAGCGACGTTGAATCACCCTTTTGCTGCCCAGGCGGCGCAACGACCAGGTCGGCGAGTTCGGGAACAAGAAGTCCAAGTGGGAGCGGCTCTGGGACGCGAACGAGGGCCTGCCGTACTGGATGAACTGGGAGTCCCAGGAGTCGCTCTGGGAGCGGCCCGTCATCTGCCACGTCTGCGACGCGGCGATCCCGGACGACGACGTCATGTGCTTCAAGTGCAAGAACGCGCGGTCCGAGTACAACCAGCGCGTCTACGACGAGCTGCACCCCCTCGAGGCCGAGGAGGAGGCCAAGGACGCCGGCGAGGACGACGACGACGGCACGCTCGTCGACGACGGCTTGATCTTCGACGAGGACGGCAACGTCGTCGAGCGCGAGGCCGTCGAGGACGTCCGCGAGATGGACGACGACGACGGCCCGCCGACGTTCTACCAGCTCTACCTCATGAAGCACGTCAACCGCTTCGCCAAGGCCTTTTTGCCGAAGAAGAAGCCCAAGGTCGAGTTCTCGCTCCCGGGCTCGCTCGCGGACCGCCTCGACCGCATCCCCAAGGTGCCCAACAAGCACGTCGTCCGCCTGCGCAGGGTCTGGCTCGGCGCGCTGCGCCTCGTGGGCATCAAGAAGCGCCCGCGGCGGCGGCCCGCGCCCAAGAAGGTCAAGGTGCTCCCCGCGCCCGCCGCGATCGAGCCGCCGCGGCCCGCGTCCGGCTAAGTACTGTTGTTGTTGTTCCTTACGAGTAGGCGAGGACCCGCGCGCGCACGGAGACGACCGTGAGCGCGTGGCCGCCGCCGCCGCCGACGCGCACCCAGAGCTTGTAGCCCTCGCCGGGCCGCGGCGCGAAGCTCATGGACGCCCGCGTGAGGTGGTGCGGCGCGGGGTCGCGGCCGCAGACGACGTCCGCGGACCAGGGCTGGTAGTCGCCCGGCGCCGCGCCGCCGTTCCGCACGACGCTGAGCATGCCCTTCTGGTTGCCCCAGCCCTGGTCGCGCCAGAGGAACTCGAGGCGCGCCGTGTGCGGCCGCCGCCCGAGGTCCGGCAGGTCGAGCCACGGGTACGCGGCGTACTCGTTGTACGCGCCCTGCCAGCTCTTCGCGTCGGCGGTGATGGTCCGCACGGGCTCCAGCGCGACGCAGCGCGTGTCCTTGGCGCTCGCGTCGAGCGCCAACGCGTCGGCGGGCTCGAGGTAGCTCGCGATGGTGGCGAGCTGGTCGTGCACGCTGCAGAGCAGGGCTTCGGGCGGCGGTGGAGCCGCGTCCTTCGGCGTCGCGTCCTCGCCGGCCGCGCCGCTCGGGACGGCCGGCGGTGGAGCCGCGTCGTTCGAGGCCAGGCTCCTGCGCAGGAGCCGGAACAAGCGGGCCATGCGCAACGATGCGCGAACGAGGGCTTTTGCCACTGCCACAAAAAGTTCAATCAACGCGTCGCAA